GGGGGGGCAGGGACAGCAGACCGGGCGGGGCTCCACACCTTCCGGCTTGCCTCGGCTCTTGTCCGTGGCACCCCGCTGCACTTCCTACTGACTCTTTGCGTGTGCTCCTCCCCCGCCCTCTGCGCCGCATGCGCATTCGCCCGGCAGCCGCTTCTCCCAGTATGTCAAGCCCGAGCCGACGATCAAGTCCTTCGGCCTGAATGGCTCGGAGCTCTTCATCATCCTGGCCTGTGATGGCCTGTGGGATGTGATCACCGGCGATGAGGCCTGCAACTTTGTCTACGCCAACCTCGAGCACCGGAGCCTCATCGTGCCGAACCTCATCCGCCTGGCCCGCCGCCTTGGCTCCACGGACAACATCACCATCTCCATCGTTTTCTTCGATGCCCACATCAACAAGGTCTAGTGTGCCAGTAACAGCCCGTGCATCCACACTTGCATGCGTGCGTGAGATGACGTGCCACGCGGTTGGCTGTCGGGCGGACACACACACTCCGTGCTGTCTCGTTCTCCCTCCCCCGGGCGCCTGTCCTTCCCTCCTCCCCCCTTGCACTTGCTTTCCTCTCGGCAGCCTGCCTGCCGCCGCTTTGCCTACCCTCTTTCCCTCCTCCCCACTCTGCCCTCCCTGCTCTCTCTCTCTCTCTCCCTCTCTCCTGGACATTGCGCGTTCCCCGTAGTCTAGGAAGGAAGGCGCGGGAAAAAAAAAAAAAGCTAAAATCATACAAAATTCTTCCATCCCTCCTGGCCTCACTCCCTGCGGCGATGTATGCGATTGGGGCGGGCTGCCGGGCTGCCGGGCTTGGTCTTTGGGGGATGCACGCATGCCTGATCGATCCTGGCGTGTCGTTGACGGGAGAAAGAGATGATTGGTCTATTGTTGGGGGGGGGGGGGTAGTGGTGGTGGTGGAGGTGTTGGAGGGGAGAGTATCCGCAGATGCTTGATAGGGAGAGAGAGAGAGGCGGAGGGTTCCTCGAGTGCTTGCTTTTCTTTTTCCTGTCCCTTCCCCTTCCCTCGAGGGCAGAGCGCAATCACCGCCTCGGCCCCACCAGAGGAGCAAGGGCGACATGCCATGCAGACAAGGCACGCGGGCGGGCCCGCCCAAAGCAGGGGGACCGTGCCCGCACGTGCAATGCAGCGGGCGGCGAGCGCGCTCAGAGACTGTAGTCCTGGAAGTCATACTGCTCCGCGAGGAGGCGGTAAACGTAGGATGGGGAGTGATCACCACTGAGGGGGGGGGGAGAGAGAGAGAGCGCTAGGCATGTCAGACAGGGGAGACGAGGCCCGGGAGTCGCGGCAAGGGGCGGAGGAGGATTTGCGCACTCGTTGGTCACGAAGAGGTTGATCATCTCGGGAGGAACGTAGTCGAACTGGGGGTTGAGGTTCTGCACATCCGGGTGGAGGTCTGGGGAGTCGCCGCAGGGCTGGCGGTCAGTGATCGGCTGGCCGTGGCCGAAGGGACGGTCCCACGAAAGGGGGGGCGGGGCGGGGAAGAAAAAAAGGCGCACCATCCTCATAGTTGGCCACATCCGAGGCATTCAGCAGGATGTTCTGGATTTGCGGGTGGAAAGAATACAGGGGGGAAAGGTTGTACAGCCCAGCCAGGACCACCACCGGGGTTGAGTAGTGGTGGGCCGCCTGGAGGAGGAGGTTCGTGCCGGCCTGAGCGATGATCCCGCCATTGGCCAGGACTGGGGGCAAGGGGAGAGGGAAGATGCGGGAGACGAGAGACAGCAGGGAGGGCCTATGTTAAGACCCGGGTGAAGGGGGGGGGGGGGGGGCGACGGGCGCAAGACGGCCGGGGCAGCGTACCAGCATGGGCGCTGATGACAACCTTGTTGACGCGGGCCATCAGGGCAAAGATGGACGTATCATACACGAGGGTGGTGTTGATGTCCTTCTCGGACAGGCGCTTGGCGGTCTCCTGGGACTCGGCACTGGGCGGGGAAGACAGGGCAGGACCGGGAGGAAGAGGGAGGAGCAACGCGCATGTGTCAGCCACGGACCACAAAACATGCAGCCGGGAGTGCCAGTTCGCCAAGGCGATCGATACCTGAAGGTGCTGTCGGCGATGAGGACCTGGAAGGTACGCTTGCGGGCGGCCTCCAGGAAGAACGCCTCGCAGGTGGGCGACGCGCCGTACGTCATGAGGACCTCATTCATGTGGATGTGCTGGAGGGCCTGGCGAGAAATGTTCTTCTGGGTGTCGGTCAGATCGTTGATGATGCCGTCGACGATTTCGTGGGCCATGCTGGCAATGGCGTGGTGGCGCTTCTCTGGAAGACCGAGGCACCGGGAGGGGGGGCAAATCCCAAAAAGACATGAGTCAGCCGGATCATGGCGACAGAGAGATGCATGGAAAGGGCCGCCAGCAAAGGCGGGCCACCGTGGCCAACGCACGCTTATCCAGGGACAGCTGCTCGGCACCGTCGAAGCTTGACCGCCGGGACACCGCCTGCGACGGGGGCAACGAGGCCGACCCATCATCGAGCAGGGTGAACATCGAGTGCGATGGGCGCTCCATGGACGAGTCACACCGGACCGTGTGCAGGAAACGCCGGATAATATTGCCGGAGGAGAGCTCTACAAATAGGTGCCATCAGCGGGGGCGGGGGGGGGGGGAGGGTGAGGAAGAAGCGGTCTCGAGACCGGGGGCGAATGGGAGTGGCAGGGAGCGGGCGCAAAGCAGGGCCCCGACGAACCAAGGGGCTGGGCCACGACAAGGCGCGCGCCGAGGGCCCGAACCAGGTCAATCAGCTGGGGGTAGGAGTCGAAGGTGGAGAAAGAAATGAACTCCCGCAGCAGGACCGACGTGTGCAGGGCCACAGAGAAGGCGCCGCAGACCTGGCTGCAGGGGGGA